CGAGTCTATCCTGTCATCGTCACAAATCAAAACCTAAGTCAAAACCAAAAAAACGACAATTGAAAAACCGAAATATTGGCGATTGTGTCTCGCAATGTCATGAATCACTTCCGTGGGTGTGGCGTGACAATTTGAGCATTTTCATGGAGAAAATTGATATTCCCCACATCGTCTAGACGAGCAATCGCGTTGGGATTCATTAATCTACGAGGAAATAACGTGAAATATCAAAAATATCCCAACTCAGGGCATACGAAATTTCCAATATCAATATTCACCACGTGGAAAGACAAACTCTGTATTTTCATTTTTGACAATATACTTTATTATTCAAATAGTTGATGAAACGTTTTAGAAACATGGAGATTTATTTGTGAATGAGAATTCTTTTAAATAGTCACACGTTTGAAAATTCTGATCGTTAAATCATCGGTTGGCCATTGCAATGGAATTCCTCATGAGAATAAAGTAAATACGGCATTTATGCGAAATTTCTACTGCACTCTTTAATTCAATGTTTCATTAAATAATCATAATAGCGATAATAGCAATGATAATAATAATGATAATAGTAATAATAATAGACCGCAATTATACGAACATTCATAATAATACATAACATACCTCGTAAATAGAATATGACAATATAGTAAAGACAAGTTAAATTAAGCAACAATCTTTTTTTTTTCATTTTTACGTTTTTTTTTTGTTTCCTCTATATATATTTGTTTCTCTTTACGATAAAATCATATACGTTATACTTTTTTTAGGTTTTATTTTTTCACTCTTCATTTGACCTATTACTAGTTTTATCCTTATGTTTAATTATTATTCTTTGAGATATGTATCGTCATGTTCGCGTTCACTAAAATTTCATTTATTTATTTATTTTTTTATTATCATCATATATGTTTTAATCAATGTCTTATCGTACTCATGGGAGATGGGGCCAGTAATTAATTTGCGATTATCCAAAGGTAAATGTTCAGTTATTAAAAATCACGCGACGATTATAAATGCGCCTACAGCCACTAGTGAACATTAAATTCAATTAGCCCCATAACCCGTGAATAATCTTGCCAAAATATCACACCAAATCAGAATTATCGCACGTTTAGTCTTGTCATCATTTTCTATTTTGAGAAAAATCCTACATCTTTATTCTTGGCATATTTATTTACTCATTACGATTTTTTTTGTTTTTAAGTTTCTCCTTTTTTTACGAAAAAATGGCAGTTATCGGTCACAGCCAATGGCTATATATTCATTACGTTTAATGCCTTAATACCTTTACGTTTCTATTGTTTCTCTCGTTTAGATAATTAAGTTTAATCTCATGTTAATTATTATTAATATCCTCAGAAACGTGTCGCGATTGATCTCACGAACGCGTATTTTTTTTTTACCTCTTTCACGTTCTCACTGATTTATTATTAATCGTAACTAGATATTTTAATGTGAAGATTATTGCGAGATTTTTTTTTCTTTTCTCAATGAACGATTTTTAAATGTTTAATTATGTTGATTGAATTTTGTGGAATTATCACAAAAACACGTATGGAAGTCGTTATATTTCTAATATTTGAGGATCGATGTTTTATGACACGTGACTGTGAAGGTGAAAAATTATGAAAAAGTAATGAGCAACGAGCGGTGTTTTGATGTCAGAACCTCGGCCAAAGTGAAGGTCATTCCCCCCCCCCCCTTGATTAGCTTTGATTAGTCATATTTCATCGAAATAAATTCATTGAAAATCAAAGCTTTTTATAAATCTTCTAGGTCTAGCGGAGGTTCTCGACAACATTATTTCGTAGTCAATTAAGTTATTCGAGATTAAGTGTTTCTCCTCTAAAATAAAGAATTCAATAAAAATAAAACATTCAGAATTCCATTCACGCCATTTGTCAACTCTTCTGATTCTCATAATTGCACACAAAAATACAGGAGTCTGAAATTTCGGCAACCGCCCACAATAATTCATTTCACTTCACACGAGACTCAGCAATGCGCGCTGTTATGCTCGATTTAAATTCCACTGGTCTTCCCATTATTACCTCTTTTACAATTGAAAAAATATAAAATGATGAATTATGACGACAAAATAAGCATCATAATTACGATAATGAATAAAGAAAAAGATTTCTGCGCGCCGTAGAATATAGTTATAAAGATAATTAGCTTTTCTTTCTTAATTTATATATATTTAATATATTAATAATCTTATGTATATGTATTGAGAATTTTTTTTTCATCATCTTCACTCTTATCTAATAAAAAAGAAATACCGCACTCAAGATCGCCCTGCAAAACCACCCTGCCGGAGAAAAAAATGCATTAATTGGCGTCTCGCTCGATTCCCCACAATAAAAAAAAAAATTCATTATAATATATCCTCTTTAATCTTCCTCTTTGCAATCAGACTTATGTTGAAGTGAATGACATTTTCTTCAGTTTTTTTTGTCTCTTAACTCTGCATATAGTCTACAATATATTTTAAACATCCCAATGACATTTCATCTATGTTTCATTCAGGGAAATGTTGTTCTCTTTTTTTCAATTATGTGGATGCTGTTCCGACAAATACCTATAAATATATATGTGTATGTATGCACGTCATCACCATTATTTTTTTCACTTAATTCTTGTTCGTCAGCATATCTAACTCTTCACCACCTTTTTTTTTAAACTTTTATACGTAACATAGAAAAAATATAGAATTCTTGCCGTTGAACTGAAAATATATAATAAATCTTCCACCAAAGGGAGCTGTGTTTTTCTTCTCTCTTGTTTTGTTCATTATTTTGCTGTCACAATGTTATAATACAATAGAGTGCGGTCGAATGTCATTTAAACGCGTTGTTTTTTTTTCTTCTTCATAATCGCAGAGAACGTAAATACCATTTAATTTAATTAAATACAAGTTCACCCGCAAGTTAAAATATTTTCAGATGCACCTGTCATTTATGTCTTTCAATTATTCATTTAATATCGTTTTCAACACAAAGGAGATAGAAAAAAAAAATTAATAAATTATCTATAAAATTTATGTGAGGAGCTCAAAATTTTCAACGTCACTCATCATCTCGCGCACAAGATATTCTACATCTACTGGAATAATGCATTGAAAATAATTTAAACTTCAAATGAGAGATAAACAAATGCATTAAATTGTCGATTCTCCTCGCACCGGTGGGTCTTGAACGTTTATTCAAACCTACTATTTTGAGCACGTTAAACCCTCGAACTTTATTTCGTCCAAGCTTATGACTCTCTCTTTATAATTTATCTATATGGCAATGATTGACAAGATATAAATACAGAATATTGAATGTTCAAAGAATATGGGGCACCCTCTGATTTCTCCGCATATGAAAAAATCGTAGAGATCTTCTCCCGGAAATTCCCACAGAGTGACTATAAACACCGGGAGTTGAAAAATTTTGACAATTTCATAAATCTCAATTCTCCTTGGAATTCGAAAATTTGAGTCCCAATTGTAAACGATAAACCTATAGAATCCCCCATAGAATCACCCCATGAGAACCTCCAATAGACCACCAAAGTGTCAAAATGAAACATGTGCGTTGGGGTATTTTTTCATTCGGAAATAAAACATTACGGAGTAAGAATTTGTCTCTCATCATTACTTCAGTGTTGGTATGTCTCATCATACCCTTAATCTATCTCCCCCTCGTAATATCCATGTCTCGTCGCATCTTTATAATATTTTCGTCTAATATAGATATATATTTATAGATATTTCATAATACAATATAATACGTCTCTGGAAATAAAAGCTACATGCGCCCTTCGAAAGTCTCCTACTTGAAAAAAAAAAAAAAAGTGCGTGTTATTTATTTTTCTCTCATCATCGTTCTACCATTACTTATAATCTGATTATTACTAGTTGATGAAATACACTCAAGGGAGAACGCGGCGCGAGGAGACGAGTTTCAACTGGAGATGTGTGCACATGATTTTAATCTGAGTTTCTTATTCCTCTGTATTTCCTTATTTATATAATTTTTTTTTTCTTTTAAATTACGGAGAGTCGGGAGAAACACCTCTACCCAGAAAATCACCGCCACAACCCCGCAATCTACCTCGCTTCTACATAATCATTATTTTTATTATTTTTTTCATTTTATTTTTTTTTTACCTTTTTTTGCAGTTTTTTCACATTTTTTTTTTTATATTTTCTTTTCTGTTAAATATAATCCGACGATCTCGAACTTCCGCCAGTCATCCCGTCGGCGAAACGCGCGAAAATACAAAATCTAAATTCTCGATAAAATATTCATATATATATTTATTTATGTTTATAATTTTTTTATATAATATATATTATTATTTCAATTGCTATGTTGCTTATATAAAGATAAAGATAATACTCTAAGCGAGGGATGGCGGGTGGAAGAATTTGAGCCGCTTGAGCTATTCGTTCTTTTTTTTATATTTAATATATTGTTTTTATATTCTTTTAATACCCCCTGGATGATAAAACGGGGTTGCGGTGTCTATGTCCTTTAAACCCTTGAATTTTCATCATTGTTTTTTGTTTCTGGTTCTACTCAATTGGAAATTCTCTTAAAACCTTCTTTGTTATGAAACTGGCAAATGGCCTGCAAGTCGTAGATCTACAGCTACAAAATATTAATCGATTCGTTGTATCCGGTACGACGCGGGAAATGAGCGAACGCATTCTAATTCCCCGGGTTTATTACTTATAACGATGCATTAATCAATTTTTTTCATCTAAATTCTCATGTTAATAATCATTAAGACTTATTGGCAGCAGCAGTGTGGAATTGAAAATCTTGTGCGCGTCTTCCTAGACTCTTAAGGGTCCCTCGAATGAGCCTTCCATCTAAATCTTGATGTCACCACGGACATTCATCTCTCTAATCCAAAAAAACGGGGGGGAGGGGGGTTCAATTGAAAAGAGGAAAAAAAAAAAAAAAGAAATAACGCAAATGACGAAAAATCATGGTATAAAAGAGAATAAAAAATAATAGACCACTGATAATCGACAATAGTGACTCTGCTTAAGAGAGAATTCGCAGTGCCTGTAGTACAGGCCTGGAGCACACTGGACAACTTGGATCGGAGCTCTCGCAAACGCGATTACCACAGTCAAGACAGAATAGATTGTGTCCACATGGTACAAGTGCCGCTGTTACCTCCTTATCCCCACAAACGACACACTCACGTCTACCACCAGCGCTACCACTGCCTAGTAGTGAGTCTGTGGGGCTTGCTGGACTAGCTGATGCTGGTGGTGATGGCCTTGATGGTAATGCAACACCAGGAAATGACCAGATTGATGATGCCGATGCTGCTTGTGATTCGAATGATGGTGATTCACCAAGGCCCTCGTCACGCTCGAGTCCAGCACCCCAAATGGCAACGAGATCATTGAGTCCTGGTGCACCTGAGCTGCTTGATGAACTGCTGCAACTACCACTACTCGAGAATGCACCGCTGCTCGAGCCATTAGAGCCATTAGAGCCTGGTGGATCTAGACTACCAAGAATTGATCCCAATCCACCGCGACAAAGTGCACCCAACAGATCAACCTCTTCACCAACCATACCAGGACCAGCTGTTGTACCTGTTCTTAATGCAATGTGCGCCTCAATTTCACGCTTAGCTGCCTCAACGCTCTCTGGTAATCCAGTTACTTCGAAAACAGGCTCCTTATCGCGCGACGGTGTGACAATGTACGTGTGTGTCTGGTGTTGAATTCTTTTGATTGTTGCACCCTTTGGCCCAACAACAAGACCAACAACTCTGTATGGCACTCGTACCTGAATTGTCACGTGTCCTGGCACTGATGCCGGTGGCCCGGGTGGTGTACCAAGCAGTGCACCAAGTGAACTCTTTCGTGATGCACGAATTTGTGAAAAGTGCTCAGCCGCTGATAATATTTCACGCTTTGCACGTGCAACATCCTCTTTTCTACCGGTAACAACGAATACTGGCTCCTCACCGCGTACTGGTGTCTTTATGTAGGTATTTGTTTTTGCACGGAGGGCTTTTATCTTGCAACCTGCAATCAGAAAGAATGGCAACATTAGAATCGAGATTTTTGAGGAGGGAGGGGTAACGCGTTTGACTTGGCAATATTTGTAAAAATCATCTCTTGAGCGAACAACATCGCACACGTATTTGATCAATTTATGGTAGGTTTCAGACAAGAAATCGGTGCTATTCGGGCTAAGGAGGAAGTTACTGAATGTAAAGGTACATTGTTAGAAAATTACTCTTGAAATTTTAAGTAAAAAATCTTGAAATTTTTAACAACGAATAATTTATATGGAATTTCCATTGATCTTGTTATTGATAAATCAGTCAATTTTCTTGAATATTCAATTAAATTTGATTTCTCAGGTTCATACAATGAAAATTACTAAAAAACGTTATAATTCAGGCAACTTTTCTTCTGAAGTTTAAATTTGTGGCTTAATTTTCGCAATAGGTTTGAAAATCCAAATTATAATTGAAAATTCGATGATCATTCGTAACGAAATACTTAATTTTATTGAATTTCCAAGATGAATCGGGAATTCCATGAGCAATTTAGTCTGAAATTGAATTCAAGTTCAACATATTGAAAATTCCAATGCATCAGTTGCTTAAATTTCAAGAAATTTCTAACAGTGTAATGCCGTTTTTCGAAATGAGATAATATTCCTCAAAAGACAAGAATAGTTTGGCAGAATAGTTTGGCTCAAAGCGATTGAACGTAAGCGACGGTTATATTTTTTCAATATCTGAAGGTTTTCCTCTGCATAAACTCTCTATTCATTCAATGTTAAAGTCTCTGATTCATGAGACTTTAAAACAAAACTGATTTCTTGTGGCAAGAAATTCTCACTTTATCATGAAATGTTCATGTTCAAGTCATGAACACTTCACCGAAATCTGGCATTGTCTGACACATTATCCGGAATTCTTATCCCAAGAACTTTATCCTCAAGAGATGAAATATTTGGCGCGAGAACACTGTTAGAAATTTCTTGAAATTTCAGTCACAGCGTCATCTGAATTTTTGATGTTGTGGAGTTGAAATCAATTTCAAAAGAAAACGACCACCAAATTTCTCATTCATCTTGAAAACTCAAGAAAATTGGGTTTTTCATGTTAAATAATCATTTTATTTTTCAATGAAAACTTGAATTTCCAAACTCATCCTGAAAATAGAACATCGCATGCAAGTCAATTTTCAACAGATTGAAAATTCAGAAAAGTTGCCTGAATTTTCATAAGTTTCGAGGTTTTCCCGTGCCATATGGACCTGAAAATCGAGAATTGCTTGAATATTCACGAAATTAGCTGATTCGTCAATGAAGAAATAATCAGAAATTTCAAGTAACTTCGTCGTTGTTAAAAATTTCAAGCTTTTTCACTTGAAATTTCAGGAGTAATTTTCTACCAGTGAAATTAGTTTTGCGATGTTATAATATTATTTCTCTCAGTACACCTGAATCCACTATTTTTCCTCGTTTCAGCTTCATAAAAATTGCGATATTATTTGTTTTTATATTTATGTTGTCATGTTTATTCAACTAGGAGTTGAATATCCACAGTGAGGAGGCAAGGGGAGAAGAATGTCTCGGCAAGTCTGCAATTTCTGCCCTCCCATCCTCCCCCTCTCAGGACTCGCAGACTCTCTGGCCTTGAGTCGGGCGCAATGCTAGCAATGCAGGTGAACCACTCCTCGTACCTTCTTTCTCCAACATTCGCATTATTTCCCATCGTGTGCGCGCGCCATCACGTGTCTCACTCGCTACTTCTTCCTTCCTCTCTTTCCCATGCTCGTACGGTTTGTTTTATATTTTTTACATTCATCCGGAGAGTTCTCTTTCACAGATAAACCGAGAGGGGAATGCAATGTCGATGAACAATTTTTTTTTCACTTCCCCATCATCTCTCTACCTGATTTTCTTTCAATTCTTTGTATTGCGGGGTTGGGAATATACCAGACGCGCGTGGATGCTGACTACGCAGATGAGGAATCCTTGGGGCGGTTTGGGGTACTGCGACCAAACGAGGGCTTGCATAATACGAGGCAATGTCGAGGGCGAGCAAGATTTTAATATTGCTCTGAGGGGAGAAAACTATTTTTTTCTCAAAAAAGTCTTCTTTCAGTTTTTAAATTTTTCAACTAAATTGCATGGAAAAAATTTGAAAAAAGTCATACCCAGTCAGTATTATCTAAATTAAATGTCGCAAATATTGATATTTTTCAAACATTTCCCTCTTATAAATAAATAATAAAACTTGTTTGCAAAACGGTGGATTTTTTTTGGAAACAATTGGATCAATCATCAGAATGAACGAATGTTCGTAATAATTTTGTTTTCATTTTGAACTTTTGATTTTTTTGGCCCGAGCTAGAGTTGTTTGAGAAGTTGTTCGATTTTCTCTCAGTGTGCGAGAGGAGAGTCATAGTTGTGCACTGAGAAAAACAAAGGTTTTTGAGAAATACGTCTTGACTTACAGCAAGAAACTTCTGACTTGAAAATTTTCAAGAGTAAAATATCTTGCACCAAGAAAATAAAAACTTTCGGCAAGTAATTTTGTGCTTGTCCTAAAGACGAGGACAATTTCTTGATGACAAGAGAGCGATTTCTCAAACCAAGTAAAATTGAATCAATTCATTCAATAGTTTTTTTAGCCTCAATTCTAAAATATTTTAATGCAAAAACCACTTTGACAAGTATAAAATTTCTTGGCGTAAGATTTTTTTTTCTCACACAGAGAGAAATGGTCAGTAAAAATTACGGAACTCACAATTCGCTCACCGATTACGGAATTGACTCAGAAAATTTGAGTGACGGTATCGTAGTTTTTCACAGGAGATTCAGGTAAAAATTACGGAACGCTCTGAAAATTTCCTACAACCACATTTCGCTTCGGAGTTACGGAAAAGATACGTAATTTTTATTGAATATTTCTCTCAGTCCAACTGAGAGACAAACGACAAAGTTCTCAAACAAGTCTTACTTACGCCAAGAAAAGAGTTTTTTGAAAATTATTAAAAAAGGATTTTTTTGTGCCAAACCTGCAACTCGCGCCGGAATGAAAATAATTGGACTAAAATTCCTGATTGGAGTTCGGAATGAACTCCAATTGCAATTGCGTCGCTCTTCGGCATTTTGAACGACAGGTGGAACAAGGGATGTTACGGTTCTTGTTTAGTATCTGCGACTGGAACAATATGACGTACATTCACAAAAGCCGGAGATAGAAAGGTGAAAATGAGGGAATGGAGGAGAGAGGGAGAGGAGAAGGTGCAGATATTGCGACGACAGGAGGAGAAAAGAGAGGGTAGAAGGGGGCGTGGGTCGTAGACAGTTGAAGGGCCGCGACCAAGGTGAGGCGAACGAACCGGGAGGAGAAAAAGGCATCGAGACGATTCGCCTTTGTCCGAGAGCTTCTCGAAAAACCGAGGAGGAGGTCTCGCACCCGTTCTATCGACGATGAAAGACTTGCCGTGGATTTTCACACCCCCAGTTGTTAATTTGGGGCACCGTCTCATTGCGCAATGTCCGTGATTCCAAAATTCATGAAATTATCACACGAAATCACACGAAATGTGTTCGTTACAATTTCAAGTGCTCCGAGGCAATGATTGGATTTGAAATTTCATTGAACAGGGAAATGGTCTTTTGTTCAATGACAAATAAAAATTTGTTGTCAATCGGCATAATTCACTCGGCTCATTTGAATTCGTAGTTAAATATGAATGCACAGCTGCGAAATTAAGTGAATTTTCAGTGAATATGAAATTTAAAGATACATTCACACGAATTTTCCTCATTTTTGCTGAATAATTGAATAAAATGCACATTATAATTCAATTTTTTCGTAAAATTAAAAGCAAATTTAAGTGGAAATGTCGAAAATTTCTAAAAAATTGCAAATTATTTGCAAAGTTATTTACAATTGGGGTAATTCATCCGGATTCGATTCAATGTATTTATGGCCGACTATTCAATTATTTGTTGCCGTATTTAAAAAATGAAATTCGGCGTTCTAAATCGGCATAATTCACTCAGCTCACTTGAATTTCTAATTAAATATGAATGCACAGTTGCGAAATGAATTTTCAGTGAATATGAAATTTGAAGATGTATTCATACGAATTGTCCTCATTTTTGTTGAATAATTGGATGAAAATTCACATTGTCATTAAATTTTTTCGTCAAATTAAAAGCGAGTTTCAGTGAAAATGTCGAAAATTTCTAAAAAATTGCAAATTTTGTGCAAAGTTATATTTGCATTTGGGGTGAGTCACCCGGATTGGATTTAATGTGTTTGTCTTACTATTCCATGACGTTATTGCTGTGTTTAAAAAACGGAATTTCGTCGACAATTTATTAGTAATTTCAAAAATGCGACATTGAATTTATCATCAATTCGACTTAAATCTCCATTCAAAAATGGATACTCGATCACTAAATGAACCGAATATTCAGCAAATTATTACAAAATATATTCATCTGCATTTTCCGAATATTCACTGAATAATTGAACTAAAATTCACATTTTTCTGAAATTTTCTCATCAAATTGAGAACGAATTTCAGTGAAAATGTTAGAATTTTGTTAAAAATCGGGATAATTCACTGTGATGTTGAATACCAAAATTGATCTTAATAATATTAAAAACATTATTATTAATTTTGTCGACAGTTAATCACTAATTTAAAAAAAATGCCATTGAATTCACTTAAATTTCCAATTAAACATGAGTACTCAATCTCATAATAATCTAAATTTTCAATGAATATGAAATTTAATAATACAGTCACCCGAATTTCCCCAATTTTCACTGAATAATTGAACTAAAATTCACATTCTCATGAAATTTCCTCATCAAATTGAGAACGAATTTCAATGAAAATGCAAGAATTTTGTTAAAAATCGGGATAGTTCACTGATGATGACGTTAAATACCAAAATTGATCCTGACTGAATTCAATCTATTATGCCCAACTATTCACTGATCCGTTACACTCTAAAAAAATGTAATTTTGTCAAC